AACATGTATGCTGGTTCTCATCTCTCTATGCGCGTCGCTAACTTGCGCAAGCTAATACAGGTCGGTATTATAAAGGCTCAACTCGTTTGTTTCACGTCACATCCGGTTCAAGTAAGCTGGATTCCGTCTCTATTATGACGTCGACGGGTCCGAGCTTAAGACAACTGAAGCCGACCGTTAGCGGATTGTAGGACAAAAAAATATTAAATCGAAGTTATTCTGATAAATTTTGATGAAACGTAAAATTTAATTAACGTGGTATCAATTTCGCCAAACCGCATGGCACGTTTTTCAAATTTGGGACTGAGAAAAAACGATGATTATCAAAAAACGTATTCATGCGTAGTGAATAGTCCAGGAGCTATCCTGGCTTTTAATTCGTGGATAAACCTGCTGTGTTTCCAATGTAGAGGTTGCAAACGTAGATTCGATACTTGTAAATTTCATTCGAAACCGAACGCGATTTCTTGAGGTTTCGAGTTTGAAGGGTTGACAGGTAAGGAATCGAATTTCGAAACCTCAATACCCAACATAAATTTGATTTATCCCCATTCTACCATGACACGAAAACAAATGATTGACTACAATATACCAGAATATCTACGACTGACATGAACCATTCAAACACATACACGATTGACCAGACTCTGTACATCATAAATGATTGATTTGTACATACCATCCCTACACATACATGATTGACTAGTATATATCATCCATGCACATACATGAATGACTGGTATATACCATCCACACAGATACACGATTGACTAATATGTACTATCTACGCACATATATGATTGACTAGTATATACCACCCTTACACATGCATGATTGACTTCTGCCCGGAGAGAGGAAGCTCGTTGGTTCGAGGCCCTGGCCATACCAAAAAATGGTACTTGCTGTTGCTTTGCCTGGCGCTAAGCGTAATGGGATACAGCCAGGACTGGTTGGCTCGGAGTCAGTATACTGTGTCTGAGTGGAGTTTTTATGCTAAACTGCTGCATGGGTATCTTATTGGGCTAGCGCTAAAAAAACGGTATAGGTTCCGAATAGTTTAAGCAGCACACACACACACACGCGCGCGCACACACACACGTGCATATGCATCTATAAGTGCAATTATCTTAAATGCGACGTTGAATCACATTTTACATCACCTCACATGTTTGACTACATATATCTATAAGTGCAATTATCTTAAATGCGACGTTGTATCATATTTTACATCACCTCACATGTTTGACTACTTATATACAAATTATTTGCTTGGCTATCTTATACCATCCATACACATACATCTTTGACGAGTACAACACACCATACAAGCTGGAATTGCACATATACATGATTGACTTACATATACCATACATTATTGACTAACATATACCATCCATACAGCATATATGATTGACTAGCACAGATACACCATGCATGATTGGCTAGCACACATACACCTTACATGATCGCCTGACATATTCCACCGATACAGCAAACATTATTGACTAGCACATATACAGCATACATGATTGACAAGCACATATACACCATACATGATGGACTAGCACACATAGACATATATGATTGACTAACACCTCCCATTCAGATACAATACAATATTGACAAGTACATATACACAACATATGGCAGACTAACATATACCATCAATACACCATACATGATTGTCCAGTGCTCACCAGACATACATACAAAGCATATGACTGATGATATAAAGAAGCCATTTAGCCTGGTCCCATCTTCAGGAGTCCCGAGACGGTTAAGTGGATCGTCAAAACCCCACACCAACTACCGAGAGTCTCGTTATAAACCGCTACCCTAACTGCTTGGAAATGGTCTTTCTAGAAGTAATTTCCCTTTAGCCATACTGATAAGAAATACTTTATGACATGACCGGTGAATTGAATGTTGGTGTGATGAGAAGCACCGATCTGGGCCTGTCGTGTAGCATGGCCAGCCTGCTTTACACACGCTGACAAAGCCCATTCCGACATATCTTCTCCCGTGAAGTGGCGTTATTACTTAAGCTTGTCTGTCGGAAATGAAAATATGTACCGGATTTCATGAGACCATTGATTACGGAGCCTATTTTCCGCCGTGGTTAACGTTCAAATTGAAGGCAGAATAAGCCACGTGAGCTTTAGTATTAGATGAGACCATTTATGTACTTTGATCATGAAAATATCCAATCCAAGACTGATGTTTTTTGATTTCCAGATAATAGTAGTTAATGTGCAGAAAGCGCGCGTTCGTCTGAGCCTATCTCTCACCCACTGTGCATCTGAAAGTGTCCCTTGCTGAGGGGAGAAGCACACACTGGTTACATGATCTTTATTAAATGGAATGATGGAGCCCTTACACCCCTTCTTAGTCCGAGATCAACTGCATTGCCATCGCTGTGACAACATCTTCCTTGTGTGTTATTGGGTACAGCGCCATTACAATACACTTATGTGGGAGGATGTGCAGCGTGCATATGCAGTGCCATCTCCCTACATTGATGTTAATTAGTCCCTGAACATTAAATCTCTGTGTCAACAGTATACCTTAAAAGGATTCTGAAATTATCAAACTGCCTTAAATAGTGTAATCGTGTTCCCATGGCTACCATACACAAATGTTGTAAGTCTTGACGTTAGAGTGCAAGCGACTAATATGGCATGAAATCTCTGCTAAAAGTAGAGGCCATTGTGCCATTCCGACGATTTCAGAGCAGGTGTTTATGAATCGTTATGAAATAGCTTCATTTGAGGTAGAATGTTTGATAATGGAATGATCTACTCCTTGATTTGAGCAGTATGTATGTGAATGTTTGATAATGGAATGATCTAATCCTTGATTTTAGCAGTATGCATGTGAGTGTTTGATAATGGGTTGATCTACTCCTTCATTTGAGTAGTATGCATGTGAATGTTTGATAATAGAATGATCTACTCCTTGATTTGAGCATTATGCATGTGAATGTTTGAAAATAGAATGATCTACTTCTTGATTTGAGTAGTATGTATGTGAATGTTTGATAATGGAATTATCTACTCCTTGATTTGATCAGTATGCATGTGAATGTTTGATAATGGAATGATCTACTCCTTGATTTGAACAGTATGCATGTGAGCGTTTGATAATAGAATGATCTACTCCTTGATTTGAGAAGTATGCATGTGAATGTTTGATAATGGAATGATCTACTCCTTGATTTGAGCAGTATGCATGTGAATGTTTGATAATAGAATGATCTACTCCTTGAGTTGAGCAGTATGCAAGTAAATGTTTGATGAAAGAATGATCTAATCCTTGATTTGAGTAGTATGCATGTGAATGTTTGATAATAGAATGATCTACTCCTTGATTTGAGCAGTATGCATGTGAGTGTTTGATGAAAGAATGATCTACTCCTTGATTTGAGTAGTATGCATGTGAATGTTTGATAATAGAATTATCTACTCCTTGATTTGAGCAGTATGCATGTGAATGTTTGATAATGGAATGATCTACTCCTTGGTTTAAACAGTTTGCATGTGAATGTTTGATAATAGAATGATCTACTCCTTGGTTTGAACAGTATGCATGTGAATGTTTGATAATAGAATGATCTACTCCTTGGTTTGAACAGTATGCATGTGAATGTTTGATAAAAGATTGATCTACTCTTTGGTTTGAGCTATATGCATGTGAATGTTTGATAATGGAATGATCTACGTACTGATGTATGCAGCATGTATGTGAATGTTTGTCAATAGAATATAATGGGTAGATGTGTTTGATGGTAGAGTTCCTAACGCTCCAACAAGTGTAACACGACATGGACATGTTAGATAATGGAACAACAAGAAACATCATCTATACCTTGATAGATTTGTCAAGACCTCCGTGGTGTCTAGTTCACGTACCAACACACTTGCACATATTTGTTTAACAATAAAAACGGAGAATCTGATTCTTTTCAACGCAGGTGGAAATGTGCTTTTGAAAAGAGAATGTAGTCTGTTTTATGGAGTAGTGCTGACACTTTGACTAGCAGTTGTAAAGATGTTGATATGCTTGACAGCGGTTATATCCTCATCTCCACTCAGAATGGATGGAGGCCATCAGCCCATACAGCGTCAACTACAATGCAGCGAACTAGCAGACTGTGAATGTACACATTAACGCTATTGTTTCTTAATTGCATTGCATAAAATGCAGACATTGCCAAATGCCTAACAATTTCAATGTTATCGACATAAATTAGTATATTTCTGTAAAGTGAGATGTACATAGTATTTCTTGTGAAGATAAATACGCAGTCCTCCATGCAGAGCTTCCTTTAGCATCATTAACAAGCAAAATGTGATCCTCATTTTTAAATATCCATAATTACATACGTTATATATTCTTTCTTCTCCTGTTTCTAAGTTTAATTTATGGGAACGACATCGAAACTTTAAACATAATTGTTTAATCCTTGAAGGACCAGTAACTGATGACGCAGTAAAGACGGGGACACCACTTGACGAAACTGTGTACAAACTACGACAAATCTCTACTTGCCGCCATTGATAGACAATCTATGACGCATATATTTGGGCAGATATTGGCAGACAGACTATGACAAATCTCCACAAGCCGAATCTTACAGTATACCAGCAAACTGATGAAGCTTTAGTGTCCTCAGGTAAATAATATTATATTGATCCCCCAAACCGAGGGAAAGCAAAGTTCAGTCATGTTCGAGCTTTCAACAGATGTTCTAAGAGATGTATGTACGTGTAAACCCATAAGTAGGTATATTGCTGTATATATGTTACGGCAAATGGAAGCGCTTAGTGACTGAAGCGTCATACAAGCCCCTGACCATACGATCCTAGACATCGATACGGGCCTTCTCTGCCCAGCCAGGACGATCCTGTGTTCCATCAATGATATAAACATTTAACTGTACGTAATGTTAAAAAGGTTTAAACACAACAAGCAGGTCAAAGAAGGGAAAACGACACACATACCTGATTGTGACAGCGACGACAGCAACAGCAACAGCAGCACTGCTTGGGCTGTTGGAAGCAGGGACACAAAACAACGGGGAATTTTCCAAACTTCGAACATCTTCCTGCATTGCATAGGAGAACGACCCACACTGGGCTACCTGAACACAAATGCACTGTGTCGGCAGCCAATATGTACAATCAAAGACGTATCCCCTTGCATCAAGCGGGTGGCACTGGTTTCACAGTCGTGTGGGTTGATACGGTATCCTTAATTTTCACACCCGGCACTGAACACTCAAGGAACTGACAGACGATGTGACACACGACAGTCTCAGCTGCTGCAGCACGTTGCAGTGCCTTCGTCTGTCACCACAGCGAGTTGGCTGGCGAACAGAAGCGTGTTTATAGCAGAGTCTTCTCGATCTCCCGCCGGCGACTACACAAGCTTCCGATAGGGATCGATGCACATAGAGCTCATCCGAGATAGCTGCAAGAAAAACACATACTTACACGCTGTTTGCCATTCCACCGATACTGTTAAAATGCAACAACGTTCAAGGTATTCTTTCGACTGGCAAGAGATGGACGCCTCGCGCTAAGGTCTGTCGGCACTGATGACGGCACATCTACATCTATTCAACATTGCATCAATTATGTACCGTGTATCGTTGCTAAATGGTGGGCGAGCTAGATGATGAGGCTGTGCTGTGTTTCACAGTTAAAACATATCACACAAGAACAAGAAAGTGGAATGTCAATGTCGCGAATTATACTGACGTGTTCACGGAAAAAATATAAATCTGTCTGGCAACTCATACAAACCTGTTTTTAGTAAACATAATAGTCTGTTCTTTGTAAACATACTGATAAATCCTTGCAATATATAACCAACAGTGCAAAACGAAAGTATCCACAGATGAATGACAATGGCTAAACATGCAACAACAAAAAAGAAATGTTGACTCGATGATGATTTTTTTTATACGGGTATAATTTTTTATCAGAGTAGTGTTTTGGACCTCACGTTTACAACGTTTCGACGATTGTTTTCGGCCTAGTAACGTTTTGATGACGTTTGTTATGCTTTGGTCAGATCTAAATGTCAAGTATATTCCTTTTCTTGGACCATCAGTTTATTTAAATACCATGTATATCCGTATTTAACATGCACAAATGTAAACATGGCACATGTAAACATATTAACCCGTCCTTAGTAAACATAATATCCGGTCTTTAGTAAACATACTATCATATTGTTAGAAAAGATACTATCCTGTCGTTAGTAAACACACTATCCTGTCATTCATAAACATACTATCCAGTCGTTTATAAGCGTACTAGCCTGTCGTTAGTAAACATAATATCCTGTATAAGCGAGTATTTCAACCGTGACACCAGATGTCATTATAAGGCACAATGTCCATCAAATACCATCTGTATTTTTCCCAACGTACTAACACCGCCTACTGAGATCCCACTGTATGCCCGATGCGTTCCGCTCTTGTTTCCGGACAAGAAGCGGTCTTGCCGCAACACTCCATGCCTCGTTGTGAGGGGTGACTAAATTCAACTGGGTATTCAGACTTGGCTGACTGAGCGCGGTCATATCCAAACGACTTCCACGTTGCTAAACCACTGTTTGGTCTGACTAGATTATATACATCCGTGGCAAAACTACTGAAATATGGCTACCTGTGGCGTTAAACAAGGAGAAAACAACAAGGAAAGTAATAACATGCGAGGGCAGGCGGATGGCGGTAGCAGAAACAATAGACGCCATCAATTTACAATGTAACCATAACAATAAACTACCAGTGTCACGGTTCAGCAGTACTCGATAATTAATTATCTACATCCTGAAAACACATGTGCAGAACCTCTAATCGTAGGAAAACGTTAAGAAAAGGGGTGCATCTGTCTCCGATACAAACGATCCGGTAATATACACTTTATGGTATCATGAGCCAATACCTTAATCAAATTAAAACATCTCCAATAGTCTATATGTTGACCCGTGTTTATCTCAACTACACCGGGGATCGATAACTGTCTCAATTCATTGTGAACGATCAATCGTCAAGTTGCTGGAGAACTCTAGCTTGATCACTCACTAAGAAAACGATACATGATTGCTCTCTCAGGCAAGTGAAGCCAGAGCGCAGAATTACCTTGCAGGAAGAAATGATTCTTCTCTCCTCTGTATCTTCATCCGGCGATGATGCTGCTTCAAACAAGGGTAACAACTTCAAACCAACAACACCGCCACCTTAAGACACCGTATTAACAGCTTCAAGCAGTTTCTCCTTAAATTAGCACCATAACCTCCAGAAACGTATTTTCAACTTCAAGTCAAGCAGGCGCTTTGTTTAGCGCCGTTCCTGAGTCACGTGATATATACAGGTTCAAATCCTGTATTCATTTGGTTGGCAACCCTGACTTGAAGCAGAGACGGTTTTAATCAACTGCATCCAATATGCGTTGGTACAGTACGCTGTTTGAGACACAGTGATTTAAACTTGAAGTTAACTATTGCCTGGCTGGAACACCTCTGACACTGCGCGTCTTCTAGTCTGATGGTCTACCTGCACAGGCATTGGGGAGATGGATGATGGGCAGCAGTATGCATTTCCTCCTGTAAATACAGTGCACGGCTTGATCATAGCTACTTCTGCTTGCGACAGGCAGCATCCCAACCACGTCCGTCTTTGTCACAAACAGTCTCGCTTTGAAAATAAATTGCCGTGCCATAATTCTCGGGAGTGGAAGTAATCACGGTATGGGGATCAGTAATTGTGACCCCCAACGCATCATTACATTTGGCCAGTCATTTGTTCACTTAGACTTAAGCCTCCCTTGCTCTCAGTTTATCGTCCAAGTTGGCCATCGATCGGCTACCACAAGTACACATGATTGGCTTGTGCGAGCCAAGGAAACCCTGAGACCTTTCAATATTTATCATACGGGATTGGAATAGCAAACCGGCGCTTTAAACCCTCACTTTAATATCGTTGACAAAGTGCCTCCAATTTGTTGTCGTTATTCCTCAGTTTGTCTTTGATTAAAAAAGTTCCTGATTGTGCAAAACTCGTCAACGACTAATGGTTTTTGCTGTGACGAATTGTATGGAAAGAGATATGGTACAGTGGCAGTCGTAGGATGGGAAGTGATGTGTTGCTTGCCCATCAAACGCATCATCTCTCAATCATTGTCAATAGTATTACGCCTTGAGGCTCCGTCAAACGATCTGTACACCGATACCGAATCCCAACGGATCATTAACTACGTCTACACGTAAACAGCGCTGCGCGTACATCACTACTGAATCATTAGAATTGTGCATCGCTAATGAAAACATTAATTATATACCTACTGTACCTACACGCGCTACATACGGACAGTATCACTAAAAAACCAAATATGTAGATCAGTTTTGTTTGTTTGTTGTTGTTTTTTGCTTGCTTGTGTGTTTGTTTAAGGCCGCACTCAACAATATTCCAGTTATATGACGGCGGTCTGTAAATAATTGAGTCTGGACCAGACAGTCCAGTGATTGACATCATGAGCATCGATCCACGTAATTGAGATACGATGACATCCATCAACCAGTCAGCGAGCCGGACCACCCGATCCCGGTAGTCGCCCCTACGCCTTTTAAGGCAAGCACGGGTTGTTGAAGACCTATTCCACCCGGATCATCCCGGGTCATGTTGAAAAGCACTTAAAAAACAGCGTATCAGTTGTGTTTGGTTTATTTGCATTTAGATGCGTTCATTGTTATTGAATAACGACATATCTACAGATGTGCATCAATATATCAGCTTTTGATTAGCGTCGCTTTAAAACCGAATTTCAGTTATATTACGGCGTGTCAGCTTATTGTAGCAAGAAGACCCGAAGTGATGCAGGTCTTCCACGTTCACAACGTAGGTGAAACCCACGATCACTGGAAGGTGCAAACAAACCAAGAATCATAATAAGAGCAAATATTGGATTCGAACGCGGATGCATAGGATTTTGCGACACCAAAGGGACGCAACTCTGCATAGCGAATTACGCTTTATATGACAAGGCCCTTTAAAATAGAGATCTAAGGGTCTGAATCAATTTGGGCATTCTTCCAAAGTCCATTTAACAAGCCGTGATATAAACGAAACACCTTTTAAAACACAGTAAAATCAAACTTTCACTTATCGTGGGACATCGGTATAAAAATATTACAATTATATATTATCTACTGATTTGCATACGTACAGGGGTACTGGATAAGCAGCCCCACACTCATGGCTGCACCAGAAATCTTGAATCTGTTCGATTTATTACCATTTTTTAAATTTAACACTTGGAACGAGTCAAGGCTTTCGTGCCAGAATTTCTACATTTCACGATTATGTCAAATGAGCATGATAAACATTGTGTGCGTGTATTCCATCCCAGCACATGGTCGTCCATCAGTGTCAGCAGCCGGGGACTCAGCGCAGAACGTTGTCACACATATAGGAGGGGAACGGCTAATTGGAAACAGTTTTATGAACTGAGTTCTACTTATATTTTTATAAAGGCCGCCCCAATCTGCATTTAGGCAGTAGAGTCAAGCACAGTCGGTAATCAGAATGGACATAGTTGTCAGGGACGCCCTCCATCAGACGCCTCGGTGCGCAGCAGCGCTATATCTGTCCAGTACTGATGGGAATTAGATTATGACAAATTGCACGGATGAGTCTATTCCCCGGCCTTACTGGATTAAGAGTTGACAAGATAAGAGATCATTTAAGAGGAAACAAGCTCGATCCGCGCCTTGTGATTACCTCCACAGGACGTTCTCTAAACATATCTTCTCTTTGTACTCCAGCATAGAGAAGTCTCCAGATCGTTGATTAATTTAGACATAGTGCTAACATTTAAGTGAGAAACTGGATTGTCCTTTAATAAACAGAAGACGTCCGCTTGGCGTGGACTCTTCGAACCCTGTCCGGTGTCCTGGAAGTGGTGGAGGAACTGTTGGCACCATCTTTAACTATTTCTGATTATGCCCATATATATGAATAATGCGTTCGGTGATCAGTTTTCAAAGCGCGTCCGACACGGACATGTGCATATGTGATGTCAATTTGGCCTTCATTTTCATGCAGGAGCACCATGCAGCTCCATCTCCTCTCCCAACTGAATATAACAGGGTCAACTTGGCATGACACGGCTACTCTCACGTCCTTGCCTCAGCCGCTCCAGGAGAACATGTGAGCTTAGGTGAAATTTGGTTTAACGTCGCGTCCAAGATTATTGCACTTATATCACACGTTTGTGTGGCTGTTTGTACTCGTCCGGACTGATGCCGATTTATAGTGCTAGCTCCCTGAGATACCATGCCGCAGTTGAACATGAATACCCCACTCAGACACAGTATACTGACTCCGAGCTGACCAGTCCTTGTTTAAGCCCCTTAATGCCGAGCGCCAGACAAGGTAACAAGTACCATCTTTATATCTTTTG